GCAGACAACATATCAAACCCCATATTTTTTAAGTGTAACTACTTTTTGCTCAAGTAAGGTGTCATGTATCAATTTGTCAACACTGCCACCAGTCAAAATTTTGTCTGTTATCTTCGTTAATAGAAAGGTTACAACTTACAACTATAATTACATGTATTTGTCTTGATTTTTATTTAGATTATTGTTATTTATTATCAGCGGTCTTGGTCTCGGTCTCGGTCTCGGACCATATTGTCTCGGTCTCGGTCCGCCTTGAAGGGGCTGGTCTCGGTCTCGGTCTCGGTCTCGAAACTTCAGGTCTCGGTCTTGGTCTCGGTCTCGGACTATCCGGTCTCGACTACAACACTGATTAAAGTACACAGATTCAAAACAAACAGTAAAAATCGAGAGAAACAGTTTAGTGAATTTCAAATGCAATAAAAACCAGGCTTCCTTTTTAAAATTGTGTACAAACAGGCTGTAAAACCGCACAGGACGAAAAAAAGGTTTGGAAATGAAAAGATTGGGAAAAGAGGGTGGAAAGGTTGGGTGTACACAGGGTCAGAGGTTGATACAAGTAGGATAGGGAAGTTGTCTTGGGGATGGAAGGCATCGAAAGGGAGGTTGTTATGTGAACAACAGGATTATGGAAGGGAGGGGTCAAAGGTAAAGAAAAACAACGGGGAACACTCAAATGTTACAAAATAAGAAAAAAACTAAAATTTCGACATGAACACAAATGCATAAAAATTCAGGATTGCAGCTAGAGTTCAGACCCACTAGTTAGTTATTATTAGTTGTTTTCATTCCAAATCTTTGTCATGTAAACAATTGGGCTTTTTTGGTACCGCTTAGTCTTACAAAGAGGTAGGGAGTATGTGTTGCAGTTTCTGAGGTCTCTATGATGAACATTCCTCCTACTTGGCGGAAGCCAGCTGCTGTAGTGTTTGGATGCATTTTCATAGCTAGTGTACTGTTTGCCCATCATGATCTTACAGGCTCTACGTTGAATTTTCTCAAGCATTTCGTTTCTCCCACAGTGAGCCCGGAATGCCAAGTAGGAGCAGAATATTCGCATATGGGTCTAACATAACATGAATAGATTGTAACCATGTCCTGTAATGGCATATTAAAATGCTTCAATGTCTTTATCATGTGGATCCTGCCATTAGCTTTCTTTAGGATGGATTTGACATGAGTGTTCCATTTTAAGTCCTTAGATATTTGCAGTCCCAGAATCTTTACTGCATCGACTGACTGGAGTGGGGTATCGTTGATTGTGAGTGGTAGTTGGGTCGGAAGTTCCCTAGCGAACGTAACCTGCATGGTAGCACATTTATCAGCGTTGAGTCTCATGTGATTGTTCTGGACCCACTCGGCAAGGTTGTCCAGATGACTTTGCATATCCGATGGGGTCTTCCGGTCACAATGCCCAACCATTGTTAGATCATCAACGTATTTCAGGACGGTAGGTGGGATGTCCCCTACTGCATCATTGAAAAGTGCCAGAAATGCAAGTGGGCCGATGCGTGTTCCCTGAGGTACTCCACCCCTGAGCGGTTTCCAGTCACTTGTTACACCACGGTAGCGGACACACTGTTCTCTACCGCTCAGGAAGTTGGCTATCCATGTTATGACAGAGGGGCGAACTCCGAGATTGACGAGTTTATTGGCGAGTATGTTGTGATCTACTGAATCGAAGGCCTTGCTGAAGTCTTTTACTACTACTGTGCTCATAGTACCCGGTTTATCTGCATTTCTGTGAAGGGTGTCCAACAGTTTCACTAGATAGTGAGTCGTGGATACTCCTTTACGATTGCCGTACTGGTTTGGATCAATCTTGCTGTTGATGTCATCCAATAGCCAATCCGCGATGAAACCTTCAGCCACCTTAGCGAAGTGATCAGTCAATGATATGGGTCTCAACTTATCCCAAGTAGCTGGTGTAGTTTTGGGGGTGGGAACCACGACTGCTTTTTTCCACTGTTGTGGGACGACTCCTTCGCTAAACGAGTTGTTAAGTATGTCTGTTAGAGGACCAGTGAGCTCACAAGCAAACTCACGAATTATCCTGGTGGGGACACCATCTGGACCAGCAGATTTGCCCAATTTGGTCTTCTTGAGCACTGCGTAAACTTGATAGTTCAGTACTCTTGGGTCAGGTTGAGGGTCTGGACAGTAGGCTGGCAATGAAGCAGTTTCGAGTGGTTTGAGGTGACTCGATATAGAGACGAAGTGGTCGTTGATGCACTCACCTTGTTGCGCCTTGACCTCACCTTGTTGCGAAGCTGCTTCCATCTTGGGGAACGATGTTCAGTGTGGAATATTTGCTGTCTTTCCAGAATGACGTTTTTGATGTACGTTGTCATCCATGGTTTATCTTGTGAATGAACTTTGATGGATTGGGTTGGAAAGTAGGAGTTTATAGCTCCTTGTAGAGTATCATAAAAAGCTGAGCACTTGTCTGTAACACAGGACTTGGTGTAAACCTCTTCCCAGTCATGGTTGACAATCCATGAACCGAAATCACGGATTGCAGACTCTTTCATTGGGCGGACAATCCGAGTGTTAGTTGCATTTCGGGCATGTCGCGACTTTGGGCTCCAGATGATTGTGGAATGGTCACTCATTCCGATTGGGGAGCTGGTTTCTGGAGTGTGGTAATGTTTGGCAATATCAGTGATAATCTTATCGAGAATCACTGAGTTGCGAGTCGGCTGCTTGACAACTTGGGTGAATCCAGTACCTGTGTAAATATCACTTGTGTCCAATCGATTTATGTCACCCAATATGGTGACACCGGCATGAGGATAGTTGGTGTTGATATAATCAACACCATCAAAGGAGATGTTCTATGAGATCATGTTCATGTGGGTTGTTGGGTGGAGAATATACTGCAGCATAGAAGAGTATGGATGTTTCACGGGGTAGGCGATAGGGTCTCGCTTTCATCCATACCACTTCAAGATGGTCTGGGACCTTGATGTTAGTAGTTTGTGCACACAAACTCTCCCGCATGTATAATGCTACTCCTCCCCCACGTTGTGTGCTCCTACACTTTGACGAGAGGTAGAATCCATCTACTCCAAATTGTTCAATAGGTGTGCTGGGGCTGAACCAAGTTTCTGATATGCCAGCTACATCTACATTGAGATCCAGTATTGTCGTTCTGAATTCATCAAACTTGTTCACTAGGGAGCGTGGATTACATAAGTACACAGTAGGCAGGGTAGGAGGTTGGTCTTTTTCCATTAGTCTTGGTAACGTTGCCAAATTTGCACAAGAAACTCCTCGATCGTGATTATTTGGCGAGTCAACTGGACGCACAGTTATATGAGTTTTGATCATTCTTTGTTTGTTTTTACCTGCTCTGCAGCCCCGTTTTGGGATATTCGCAATACGTGCTTGTTTGATGATTGTCCATACCTCCTGGTCAATTCTGCGGCCATCTTTGTTTTTTGAACAGTTGTTTCCTATGTGCAGCAGAGATTCTCTAGTGTAGCGGCACATATTCAGTTTATCAGTTAACAAGGGAGTCCTGGAACAGTAGATGAATGTACGTGCACGTAGGTAGGACAATAGGCTATAAGGCATGTATGGAATGCAACTCACGGTATACACATACGTTCCAGTGCGTCTTCTGGCGAAATAGAATCACTAAAAATCAGTCCAATCCGTTCCAATCTGATGGAAATCTTGAGCAGAATAGTCGCTATAGGTAATCTCATATCCGATATCGGTCAAACAACGATGATGGACGAACTTATTGTCATAAAAACTAATGTTAAAATCATTAAAAAACGAGAACTAAAACGGTGGAGGTGCTGCCTCATGAAGGGCGCCCTCATTATATTATATTTATTCCCTTATTAAATCTTAGGGGCTTAAATCTAATCTTAGGGGATTAAATGGTCTCATGGGATCTACATCCTCTTTTCATATGGATCACTGGAATCGTTCTTTCAACGTTACGAACGTTTTTTTTCAATAAACCATCTTTCGACCAGTTTTCCTAACTTTATATTCCCGATCCCCTCGTCGTTAATATTTTCATCTACAAATATTAAACAGATAAAGAGAAAATTGCAAATGTCATTCAGTGTGTTCATTCAATGATCTTAGGCGTAGCGAGATCTTTCAAATCAGTCGATGTATTGTTATTCCCTTCGAAGTTAAAATGCTAACATTGAAAGGCACAATGAAAATGCTATAACATTGAAATGCAACAAAAAAAAAACCGTGAGTATCTCAAACAAACTGCTAACCAAGAGCTGCACCACAGTCAGCGGCGTAGCTACGGGCTGCGTGTATAAACACTGCCTTACCGGGGGTACTGGAACAATTGGAGGTATCCCACAAGGCCATTTTGTGACCTTGAAGTTTTTCACAAAATAGATATATGGATTTCACTCAAAAACTAGGAATTTCCAACGTGGGATGATTTGTCGCAAATGGAAGAGTTGTAGAAAAGTGATTTCAAGCTCGAATTTCAGCCCAGAAAATTAATAATCAGAGCATTTTGCAATATAAGAGCATTTTGAAATTAGTGCACGACATTGCATAATTTTAGTACACGAGAACAAAAGAAGTACCCCACTTCTATGCCTGTGTAAGGGTATGCTTGTGTGTGTTGGCGCACGCCCCCCCCCCCGAAAAATCATTTCTCCCCCCCCCCCAAAAAAAAACCCCTAGAAATTAGACAACCGGAGAAAATCAAAGTACTCTAAGTTCCAATGCTTACCTCGTTTAAGACAAAATGCCCTTTTTTCACGTTTACTTTATATTTTTCACGAAGATCCCATTTTTGCGATTGGTTTATTTAAACGTTCCCTGGAAACGGAAAAGCGCTATCTATTGTCTGACAGTGACCATTATGTCAGTTTTGAACAGTGCCCTCATGGGAAGATGTTGTCCTGCTTCTGTGCATACACCGTTTGTGGTAATATAAATATTTGCTACAAAATATATACTTTATAATTGAATAAAAATTGAGAGTGTTCTCGAGTTAGAAGAACAAAATTCTACGTGATCGGGAGGATGCTCCAATTTACCTTGCACACAACAATGCCCAAACCAACGATGGCAGTGAGCAACAGGCAAACAACGACGATAAACCAAATGGGGGTATTTTGAGAGCCATCTGGAGTGTCCTTAACGGTATGATCCTCGCTAAACGTAGCCTCCATGCTAGTTATTGTAGGTTTAAGTGATGTGACATCTGCAAATACAATTTTGAAATTTTTAGTTGCAAACTGACTTGACTGCTTTTGTGTTTGATATTCAGTCGTCAAAAAGTTGCTTTTCCTCTAAATACAGGCGATTTTAATAGTTCTGGCTAGGACACTCTGACTCTGTAATCAAAGCATATGTACGATAATTGCAGGCTTATTTTTGAAATTCGTTAAAAACTGACTATAGTAAATGCATTAATTAATTTTGATCAATGTCTTCGCGATTGATATTCAGTTGTCCCCCCGCCAAAAAAACCCACTATTGAATAAAAATCTCGAACTAAGGCTGTTTACCACGACAGCTATTTCGATGAATAATATTTCAAACCGCATATCGTACATATGCACTGCGGAAATTTATTACTAAAAAAATAGAAGGTAAAAGAAAAATCGGAAAGGATACATTTTACTTTGGCTAAAAGATGATCCATGTAGGGAAGTATTCGGGAAATGTACTTTATTTTAAAAAATATAATTTATATGTCATTTGCAGCAGTAATTTTTGGAGCAAATATTGTTGGCGGATGGAAGGGGACTGCAAACGGTGTTCTATGAGTCGAGGCGTGCAGAGCAGGGACAGCAGAAGTTGTACCAAACAAATTTGTAGAGTTAGACGAAAACAATAAATATCCATGCTCACGTGGTGTTTGCGGGGTACGACGAGCTGTGGTGACAGTCACCGTCACGTAGCTATCACTCCTGGCGCTTAGAGCCTCCCCGTTCGCTTGACATCTGTACATCGTGTCCACATTACTCGTTATAATTGGGATTGATGCTGAAGTAGTGAAAGTGTTCACCGAATACTCACCTGAAATACACCCCAATACATGAAAAATAAAAAAAACCAGTGCTGTTATTATTTCTCTAGCTAAGATCAGAAGCCAATTGCATGAACTTGCTAAGCATGAAATGTTTTACCTACAGATGGTATTTGCGCATTTATACAGCAATAACCAAACCAACGTTGGCAGCCGGCAAACGTCAACTATAAGCCCAATTGGGGAAATTTGAAAGCTATCTAGACCATGCTTGGATAATGTCTTACCTCTAGAGAAAATCTTGCTTTCGCGAAGCCGCCCCTTTAATCTACACATACATTGTATATCTGACCGTTGTGTGGATTTGGGGGTAGCGCCAGTATCACAACTCGAGTGATACACTCATGATAATTTATGCGGTAAACAGAAGCGTCATCGAACTTATGAATTATGTACATCCTGGCTGCCAGGCCCGCGCGTTCATATACAACTATGTACTGTACGTAGCTCTATACAACTAACACACGGACGTGTGCGCGCACACAGCTACATCTCTGCACGGTCACCAGGGTGATCGTAAGGTCAGAGCCAAATTCTGCTAATGCACTTCAAAAATCTGTCAGATTTATCAAAAATCTGCCAAATTCCCCAGAATTACTCGAAATACACTATAAACACTTAAAATCACAGGCAGATTGCCTTAATTAAGATTAAAATTGTATGATAAACATAGTCACATAAAGATTTTGTGAAATTATTGGGAAATTGTGGGCAAAACGTGGATCCGGCCACGACGAAGTCCGTTTACCAGTGAACCTCAGCACCTAGACAAGCCAACCTGTCCCATTACCCAAGGGTTTGTTTGAAAGGATTGAAGCTTTTTTTTTTAAAACAAATGCACATTTTTGTGTTGAAATTTGCTGTTTTTCTGTCAAATAACCATTTTTGCAAAATTCTGCCAGAAATCTGCAAAAAAATCCATTCTGTCAAATTTTCTGTCAAGGTTGTTTTTTTAAACAAAAATTATGTCAAAGTTAGCCGAAAACGACTAAAACAGTTACCCTGACGGTCACATCACAAGTGGTTTGGTACGTGTCGGCTGTATATGTAAGCTTGCGAAGCTTTTGATGTGGAGAGTTTCAGCTTTACATGTTAATCTATTGTTCACTGTGAAAAATATTGAGACAAGCTGGGTCAAATGATTAATCATTTGCATCTCCAAGGAATTTTGTGGTTATGGCACTACACATGTCATTGGATGCATATCGAACTTCGAAGTAAATAATTGAAACCGCGAGTAAGGGAAGGGGCAGGACAACTATTTCGAAGACAGAAGTAGGATTTTCATGATATAAATTATTTATTTCAATAACTATTATTAAAATTTAACAAAGGGTTTGTAAACATGGTAACTATTGTAGGTTTGTGAAAAAGGAAAAAGAATAAAAATTTAATAAATAAACAAATTGAATGACGATTACTGCCTGCGTTCACGATAAAGCATTCCTCTTTTTACCAACTTCTAGAATGCTAGATTTAATTTTAAAAAAAATGAAAGAAAATAGGACCCGAATCATCTGTCTTTTACCAAGCGGGTGCACAACCCCCCTCTCGACCCCCCCCCCCATGTTTTTCATCGATTGATAACATAAATCTAACATTGGTTATTTCAAGAGCGAGCTAGGGCTCCCTTAATTTGTTTGTATTATTTTTGAACGCACGTTGTGATCTACTAAAATGCCAACACTGTGTAAAATTGATGGTTATATTATATCCGGGCGAAAGGCTGCCACAATTACCGATTTCGATGCGAAATCCCTTCCCGCTCTTCGCAACAAGTGTAGCTGCATAATATTTATGACTCCTGTGACGTCGTACCTGACTTGTGGTGACGTAGGAATAAATTATCATCAGTGGCATCGTTCGAGTTGCGATACTGGCGCTACCGGATTTTTGTTTCTACCGCCATTTAATTTGAGCCATGCTGCTCTCAAACCCCAAACAACCACAGTCCATTCGTTATATCCTTTTAGACCCAATAACCATTAAAACCACAGAATTGCCCTGTGAAGGTCAAAACTGTTCCATTTTGTCAGCAGGGGTGATCCACTGGCAATCCCTATGCGAACAGCACAATTGTATACAAGCCTATGTAACTATGTACAGGTGCAGGTTTTCCCGCCAATTTTACGTCACCCACTAGGGCCAGGCAAGTGACGCCCCCTCTGGTGGATGTGGTCCAAACTACGATCTAGTGATAGATGACCTCGGGCATGCCTATCATGTGGCTGGGACAATATAAAACATAGAAATGTGAGTAGTCTAGATTCCATGCTGGCTTAGAATCGGGTAAATTTTGTTCCCTTAACTTAACGCCCCCTCTGGTGGATGTGGTCCAAACTACGATCTAGTGATAGATGACCTCGGGCATGCCTATCATTAAATTTTGTTCCCTTAACTTAACGCCCCCTCTGGTGGATGTGGTCCAAACTACGATCTAGTGATAGATGACCTCGGGCATGCCTATCATGTGGCTGGGACAATATAAAACATAGAAATGTGAGTAGTCTAGATTCCATGCTGGCTTAGAATCGGGTAAATTTTGTTCCCTTAACTTAACCAGATCTTCAAAGTCGGACCTTAACGTTTATATTATACTGTCTTATGTAGCCAAATGAAAGGATTTCTAGGCCCATGAAATAGGCCCTAAAAATAACGTGGCTCTTGCAAAGATGTTGCAATTCAGAAGCATGCTACACAAGGATTTTTCCAATCTTACAGGCGGTTTCAGGTTCAATAACCCTGCACTTACTCGGATGTACGGTAAACTTATCGCTGATGAACTGTGTGTCGCCGTCACTATACTCAAGCAGCCATCGGAGAGCCACGGCAGGCTTGGTATCCCGTACGATGCAGGTCAGCCTTGGTTTCTTGATGTCGTTCGGCAACTGTACCTTACATTCTGACTCAGATATGCATGTAGTGCATTGAGTTACTTCGGGAAACGGCTTCTTGGGGGATACTACATAAATTATAAACAAACTTAACATTGCTGAAACAAAATTTGGACACGAAGCTTAAAGGTGTCATCACAATCATTCACAAAATAACAACTGGTGATATTGCTATCAGCTAGCGTTTCTTACTTCAGATTCTAACATGTAGTTTGATCAACCAGCAGTAGTAATATGTAAAACTTTTATCAACCAACAACTATTATACCGCTGTCATAAAAAGCAGTAACATGGAGAACGTTAAAGCTTTTCATGGGCGAAATCTGCTAGTTCTTAAAAACAATCTTTGAATACAAATAAGAACAAACTTTTTAGACTTCATTATTCTTTTAATTTTGTTTGCATTTCATGGTGTTTTTGTGTGCACAACACTTATAGAAAACGGGACAATAACAATTAACGGTTCACAAGAGCCGTGAGATCAATAAGGAAATAACTAATCATTCTTTGAATTGACACAAATTAAAAAAAAATTCCAAGCCAAGCACATGCACCGACACAGCTTTATTCAGAAAATGTGTCAAACGCTGACTTTTAGACACCAACTGGACTGTGAGGTTAAACGAGATATTATCGTTTCGCACTTTAGAAAATTGGTTAAAATCTGGAGCTGAACCGAGTCAAACGAACTGCAACATTGCTTTTGTCCAAAAAACTTATTTACTAATCACCAACACGCTCACCTTTGACACGCATATCCATGTGACCATCAACTATCATTTTCATTTTCGGTGCGACCTTACAGTAGTAGGTACCTTCATCTGAGTCGGTGACATTCTCAATAACCAGAGCGACGTCTTTGTTGATGTCATACACGCCCTCTGGGATGCCGTTTTGTGGAGCGACGTTCCCTTTGAAGTAGAAGATCAGGAGGTTTGTAGGTCGGACTCGGGGGAAGTACCAGAACATGGCTTCGATCTGATCCAGCGGGATTCGTCCGGATGCGACAGGAGGGCAGGACACGATGCCAGGGTTACCTCGCTCCAGGAAGATGGTTCCACTCTTGATATTTTTGACTTGAATGCGAGTTACCAACACAAAAACAACTAGAGGTGAGTGTTTGTTGAGTTACAAACGCAGAGTGGACGGGCAGACAACTTTTTTTATTAGACACCGCCCATTTATGTTATGAATATTTTCATGTCAGAATAAAGGATAATGAACTTTAACTTTGTGGTTGCTAACTTGCTAACGGAATAAAAACGGGCAATTTGGTAAAATTTTGATTGAGGGTTTTAAAATTTGAAAAGGTTAAGCTATTTTTGATGTGCCGATAGAGGGCCTACTTTCGAGGTTGACGTCAAAATAATGTGTTTTTGTGTCAGGCATTCCTCACTTAACACTTCCATAGTGTATTTGTCTGTAGTATTTTCCCGTTTTCAAGTTAGCTTTAATTTCTAGTGCACTTCTTGGAACACCGGAAGTGAAGGTCAAGCGATTTTTTGCCCTGGGTATTAAATGTTGCTAAAGGAAATCGTTACAACCTCACAAAAAAAATTAACAAGTTTACTTGTCTTAGTTCAAGAGATATAGGTCAAACTATTTTGTCAACTTGCTCCCTTAAATCGGTTATAATTTGATACCTGCTGACGTCACAAATTTATAACATCTTCGTAACATGGAACAAGTTCTCACTATAGGTTTTATGATCATACCTTAAACCGTTTGGAAAAAATTGTGCTTTGTTTTGAATTCAGGCTTAAGTCTTCATTTTGAATCTCCCTCTCACCTTCCAGTAGACCCGGAAGTAAAGGTGGAACAACTTCACGTTCTTGACAAAAAATGTTTACCAACTAATGGTCTATCTGATTACAAAGAAAAAAAACTACGGCTGTGTCTGTTTGCAAGCAGAACACAGGGCTTTTTCGCATGTCACAAAATATTAATGTTTCGTTGGTCCTTTTGCGGTCACTTTTCAGAGTGCTTCATGCAGTTATTTAGTTCAAAGAAAAATTCTAGAATACAATTTTAACACATGACGTCACATGCCTTGAAATGACGTCATCTTTAAAACCCTTCTTAATGCACATTTTGTCATTGTGGTCTTGGTTTGAACCAAGTTTAATGTCAATCCAATGAAAGAATTGTGCAATTTTGGAAGCAGAAAAAAAATATCATTATTTAAAAAATCTTTAAAAAATCAAACGATGTCGTCATCGTGACGTCAATTCGGACTTTGCATACTAGTACTATTATCTACCTACCCACCAAGTTTCATGACAATCGGACCTTTTCTTATATGTGTTTTGAATAGTCGCATTTTTGATAACGTCATGATGACGTCACACATTTTTCAAAATTATTTGCCAATACCTATTACCTAACAAACCAAATACAAAACGAATTTGGAATTTGGCATGTTGCGTTCGTGAGATATGGCTAAAAGGTCCAAAAATTAAAATATTCATATAAAATCTCAGGATGACGTCATTATGACGTCGCCTTATTTTTTTCCTATAACACATCCCGGTCTAGCCACATAACAAGTTTCAACCCAATCGGAGTAACAGTTCTTCAAAGTAACAGGACTTCAAAGTATTCACGTTTGTGATGACGTCACGTGACCCCTGATAACGTAATCATGACGTCAGCCTTCGGGAGACAACTTTGCCATAAGGACAATGCATATGCTTAATTTGAATGATGTATGACGAAGTTCAATGCCAAAAGTGGCGTGTAGAAAAGCGTTTACAAAGTCTACGGGGTTTTCTTGATCTTTGATTGCTTGTCATTCGATACATGATGACGTCATCATGAAGTGTTTCTTTGGGACACATCTTTGCTATAGGGACTATACATATGTTGACTTTGAATGATATGTGACAAAGATTAATGCCTAAAGTGGGTGCCAGAAAAATCGTGTACACAGTCTATGGCGTTTGCCAAAAAAAGAAGAACTAGAGGTCTATGTCTGTTTGCAACAGAACATAGGGCTTTTCCGCATTATGATTTTTTTAAATCAATAATATGCCCTGAATATGCATGAACATAAAAACTCCTTGGGACACATCTTGGCTATAGGGACTATGCTTATGCCAACTTTCAATGATATCTGACAAAGATTAATGCCAAAAGTGCTATAATACGTCTCTGTCTATGCGCATACATGAACATAAAATCTGTCAAAGTTAGCCGAAAATCGGCTAAAACGGTCAATGTGGACAGGATTTGACCTCGGCAACACGTGCGCTGCAGGCTGACTGACATACGATGTATGTGCCTATGTACAACGTACGTGCATGTACATGTACATTGTGGACGTCCTGTCCTGAGCATGTTTTGAAGCAGAGGTATTGTCAACGTGAAGTTTTAAGCGTGCACAGGGTATGTTCGAGTTCGCTTATCGCCTCGAAACTTTGAAATGTTTTAGACCTACCCTTAAATCGACAATTAAAGTAAAAACTAACATAAAAACTGCCATGGTTGATTTTTCAGGAATTTTCAAATGAAAAAGGGTCTTTTTATTAGAACTTTCGGTCTGATGACGTCATTCGCCTAAAACTTCGCACATGTCGTAAGTGGGTCAAGGTCATTATATACATCATTATTTAGGCGATTCCAACAAACTTCGCCACAGACATCTATTCAAAATACATTTTTGCAAATTTTCAACCTGTCGCTAGAGGGCGCTCGAAGATTGCATGACGTCATTGGTAGATGATTAAAAGAATACTTTTAGCCAAGACACTAACACCGTTAAAAGCAAGTTCATATCTATTTCCATTTTCAAATAATAAGCCACTTCCGGTTTTGGCCTTTTTCGACCGGAAGCAAGGGTCACGTGATTTCACGCACACTAAATGAAATAAAGACCTTAACCTACTCTACCATTTGCCGGCAACAGAATGCTGCGGACGCGTACGGTTGATTTCTTATGCATTTTTAAATATTAAAAGTGTCACAATTTAACTGCCTATAAATACACAACGGATGACGTCATCATGACGTCATCATTACACAAAGTTGTTTGAATTAGGGTCTTTGCTTGGACAAAGATTGGTGTAAATAAATTACTGGCAAAGAGTTAAAAATGCCCTTTGAAAATCGATAATTTTTTTTAAATTTCTGTGTACAAAGTCTATGGGAAAAATTAAATATTCAAAAATCTATAATAAATTAGTCGATGACGTCATCATAACGTCATTGTTCTAGGATCATCCTTGCATAAGGGTCCTTCATTGGTATTAGTTCGATGAAAATCCGAAGTTGCAAAAGCACTAAAGTCGTGCAGAGAAAAAACGTGTACAAATTGAATGGGCTTTTTGGAGAAGAAGAAGAGGAAGAAAAAAACTAGAGCTGTGTGTCTGTTTGCAAACAGAACACAGGGCTTTTCCGCTCATTAATTTTTAATTCCATGCTTTCTAGCGACTTGGGCCCAAGACTACGCGCCCAGTGGTTTAGCAATGCCACGTGGCCCTTTCAGTGAATGCATGTACATACATGTGCGTACACGCACCCTGTACACTGTTCACGCTTTCATTGAATTTTTGAGCGACGGACAACCATTAGGTTTTTTTGTCGTCGGCGGGTCACATGGGTGAACAAATAGACAAGCCACGCGCCTAGTACAATAAACACCAATGTTTATTATATCATTAAGCGGACAATTAAAGATTATATCTCTCTCAGGATTGATTTTTTAGCAATTTTTTAAGAATAAAAGGTTTTTTCGTTGTAACTTCCGGTCTGATGACGTCATCGGCTTCAAACTTCACAGGACCAACTTTACCTAAGGGCCTTGTAATATGCCTAGTTTAAAGTTAATATGATCCCATTTCATGTAAAATTTTGCAAGTAGAAGAAACAGTAAAAGAATTTAAAAATAATAACAAATCAGTTGATGACGTCATCATGACGTCAATTCAGATTTTGCATACAAGTAACAGTATCTACCTACCCACCAAGTTTCAAGACGATCAGACTTACTGTTATATGTGAAAAAAGAATCACATTTTTGATGACGTCATCATGACGTCATGCACTTTTCACTTTCTTGGTCCAAGTATGCATTACCTAACAAACCCATTGCAAAAAGAAATTTGAATTTACAATGTTCCGTTGATAAGATATGGCTTGAAGGTCCAATACTTCAAAAATTATTATAAAATCACATGATGACGTCATCGTGACGTTACCTCAATTTTGACCTATAACATATCTCGGTTTACCTACATGCCAAGTATGAACCAAATGGGACTTACCATTCTTGCGATATAGGGCCCTAAAGTATGCACCTGTAAGGTGACGTCACATGACCCATGATGACGTCATCATTGCGTCTATCTTCGCGAACGACCTTTGCTATATGTTCTGTGACTATGTTAAGTTTTGATGTCATATGACTTTGTTTTATGCCAAAAGTGTTTGCTAGAAAAAACGTGCACAAAGTCTATGGCATTTTGGTTGGAAGTCCCAAGAGGAAAAAAAAAAAAAAAAAAAAGAAAAGTCGTAGAGAAACAAAGGCTTTTCCGCAACTTTGCGGAAAAGCCCCCCCCACCCCCCCAAAAAAAAAAAATTCGTAGAGAAACAAAGGCTTTTCCGCAGCTTTGCGGAAAAGCCAAAAATCAAGACAAAAAGAATGCCGTTTTCGCAAAATTGCGAAAAAGCCAAAAAAGACTAGAGATGTGTTTGTGGACAAACACAAGCTGTTTCGGATATTCGAAATACTCTGTGCACGTGATGAACAATCAGTGACGTCACTAAAAATGTCATCTATAACAGCACATTATACGTATATGTCAAGTTATAACCAAATCGAATTTCTTCTAACCCTAACCTACCCCTAACCCTTACCAAACCGAATTTCTTCTAAGACCATCTGTGGGTGGTGGTCTAAGTGTGTGCCAAGTCAGAAGTTGATCAGATTTACGAAAGTGCCAAAGTGTTTGGGTAGAAAAAAAACGTGTACAAAACATATGACAAAAGTGGACAAATCGGAAAAAAAGAGAACAAACTAGAAATGTGTTTGTGGACAAACACAAGCTGTTTCGGATATTTGAAATACTCTGTGCACGTG